GGCCCGACCGCATATGAAGGGCTACCAGGTCGGTCTGTCACACACTGTAGACCCTGCCGAAGAGACTGTATACCCTGCCAAAGAAGGAAACACCTTGCCCCCCTCTAGCAGGGTCTACAGTAGGGTCAAAAACCCAAAAAACGGACCTTGGTGGACCCTCATACGACCGCAGGTCCCATTGCCGAAACCGGTTCATCAGTCCATTCGTGCCGAGCACAGTGTGACTAGGGCCCCGCGCCCACAGGATCCGACCGCGAAGCCGGCCGGCTCCTTTGATGCATTTAATTTGCCTTTTGCGGCCGAGCCTTTTTCGGTTGGTGCTCCGGCCTTGTTGTGCGATTCCCCGCGGCCTCTTGAGGAGTGTTGCCATGAGTTGCCCGATAAGCCCCTTCAGTTCCAATCGTGGTTGCATAGTTGTTTAAGTATTTCGGGTTCCGCTCGGGTTGGGCTTAATCGATTTATCAGCTCCGCCCTTAAGCCCCCGAACGCCTGCACTGCACAGTCGGCTTCAACTGAGCCTGGCAACAAAACTCTGTGGCCCTGTCCCCCGCCCCGGAGATGGACGGGCTTTAGGCTCTCACCGCGCCGCCGGCGCCGCCAGCGCACTCATGAGTTGGTGCATGTCATGCTTCAGCGTATCGTGGCCACCTTGAATTGGTTGTCCTTAGGGTGCCCGCTGGAGTGCCCGCCTGAGGCGCGTGTGGGGGCTCCCATTTCAGATGAGCAGCTTGACATGCAGAGCATTCTTGAGCGGCACATAAAACACTTTGTTTGCGCGCCTCCTCTTGAAGCCTCGTCTCTAGGACGTGCCGAGGAACGCTTTGCCCAGTTGCTTCGTCTTGCACAGGAACTGCCTCGAGACCCCAACATGGCCTCAGGTGTGGACCTTCCCGAATTGGTTTCTGCATTGCATGCTGAGTTTGATCCTTATGGAGGTAGAGGCCCTGCCAGGAATGAGCCCCCACCCCATAAGGATAATGATGTAGGATTCCCGCGTAGCCCTCCCGCAAAAGCTTCAACGGCTTCGGATGATTTGGGGATTGGCGTTTGTGCCACTGGTGGAGGCACTCGGTATAAGGAAGTTTGTTCGGACCGCATTCGTTGGGAACACCCACCTTCTTTCGATGCTGCTCAGTTCCTCTCTGACCCCATTGTTAAAGCTGCCTATAACAATCCGAGTGTTTTGAGGTTGCCTGCGCGGGACTGGCCCAAGACCCGTGCCGCGAAAGTCCATTGTTCACGATCCGAATTACTGAGGCTCGCCTCTAAATGGGACGAAGTTGGAGCTTTGGCTCTCACACCGTGTTCGGAAATCGATGAGCAGGAAGCTGTAGGATTATTTGCCATCACTAAAGATCGTGATTGGGATCGTCTCATCATTAATCCCACCGTCATCAATGCTAGATCCAAGGGCTATAGTAACTTCACGCGTTATTTAGCGCCGGGTAGCTTGATCGGTCTCACTCATCTTAGCGATGGGGAATGCATCCGCATTTCAGCTGACGATTTGTCCGAGATGTACTATACATTCCGCGTGCCACCCTTGAGAGCTGCCAGGAATGCGATCAGGATGAAATTCGCCCCTTGGGAGGTTTCGCATTTCAAATGCTTCTCTCCTGTGCGGCACTCGGTGCCCGTTTACTTGTCTCTGGCGGCTCTCGCCATGGGCGACGCCCTAGCCGTCGAGATCCCGCAACAATCTCATTACAACGTTTTGGCTACGCTAGCCGGCTCTATGCGAGCCTCTGAGGTTGCCGCTTATCGTATGCCGTACCCCCGCGGGGACACGGCTGAGTATTTGGCCATCGACGATCACGTCGTTGTTCAAAAACTCAGTCGCACCGCTTTGGCACGCAACGAACCTAAGCGTGACACCGAAATTTTCGCCAGGGCCGAGACTGCCTATGTTGATGTGGGATTAGTGCAGCATCCTCGCAAGCGCCGCCGTTACCAGACTTCTTGCATTAGCTTGGGCGCCGAAATCGATGGGCTTCAGGGCCTGGTTTCGGCCCCCCGGCATCGTATTGGTGTGCTTATGGCCATCACTTCCGAGGTCGTGCGGCGGGGCACCTGCTCGGGCTCTTTCCTTGCTTCGCTGCTGGGGCTTTGGATTCATGTGCTCATGTATAGGCGCCCGTTGCTGGCTCTCCTTGACTGCGCCTTCGCCGACAGCCGGCGCACCCCGGCGTCAACGGTGTTCGCTCTCAGCCGCAACACCTTGAACGAGCTGTTGGCTTTGGTGATGTTGGCTCCGCTTGCCCAGACCGACATGCGTGTGTCTTACGCACCTTTTGCGTTCTGCATGGATGCCTCGCCCACTGGTGCTGGTTTGTGCGCGGCGCCCCTGCCTGAAACTGTTGTGGCCGAGCTGTGGCGACACTCTGAGCAGAAAGGTTACTACACCCGGTTGGAATCTCCGGCTGCTGCGCTCTTGCGTGAAAAGGGGCTTGAACCCGAGACTGTGTTCGGGGCCTCTGCTGTGGAGCCTCCGACAACAGTTTTTCCTTTGCCACCGGCCTTAAACGAGGGCATTGTGTACGATACCCTTGAGTGCTTTTCTCAGGAGGGCACTTGGGCTGCTGCTCACTCAGCCGCGGGTCTTGTTGCACATCCGGGGCTCTTCACTGCCGGTCGTCCGCTACAGTTTGCTGACCTCGCCGACGGTGACATACTGGCCCAGCTTGTGTCCTTAGCTGCCCGCGGTGTTGTGCGTGAGTGGCACTTTGAGCCGGCGGCGCGCAGCTTCTGCTTGTGGCGAACCCCTAAGCTTAGGTCCTCTGGTTGTCCCCTAGGGTTTAATCCCAATGATCCCGCTGTGGCCTTCGACAATCGCCTTGGGCGCCGCTTGACCCTGTTGTTGTCGCTCATTCACCGCTCTGGGCGTTTCTTCAGTGTAGTGCAGGGCTCTGGTAGCTTTCTCTTTAGGCTTAATGGGTTTAAGACTTTGGCTGTTTTAGGGTCGGCCTGCAGCGAAGTCTGCAGCTGTGCTTTTGGCTCGCCGTTCAAGCGGCCCGTCACGTGGTTCCACAACAAGCCTTGGGTTCTCACAGCGGCCGGGTCTGCGACGTGCTCCTGCACCGAACCACACGTGCGAGTTGAGGGCTCTTTCGGTGGTGCCTTGGCCCGTGCCGTTGAGGCCCGTTGTCGGCCCTCTGCCTCTGCCGTGTTTGGTCGTGCGCCTCGCTCAGGTGAAGCTCTGTCTCGTCTCGCTGCTGTTACGCCTGTCCGGCTTTGTCAGCGGCTTGCGTCTGCTAGTGTTGAAGCCCGCAGGGGTTTCGGGAGCCCTTTGCCTCTGTCTGCACAACTCGCTTGCGCCCAGCGTTTTGGGATGTGCACCTCGATGGATGCCACAGGTGACTCCCCCACTACAGCCGAGCTGCGTGCTTTCCACGATGATCCGGAATGGGTCGGCGAACTCGCTGACAGTCTTGAGTTCTCTGAAGTCCTTCGCTATAGGTTTTCGCGGCAGGGTCACATTAACGTGCAGGAGGCCCGGGCTTACAAGACTTGGCTCAAGTTTTTGTGTCGCCGCCACCGTAGGTCGAGGGCTTTAGGGTTGATAGATAGTCGGGTTCTTCTGGGGGCTGCCGCCAAGGGCCGCTCCAGCAGTTCGGCTCTCGGCCACGTTCTTCTCACCGCGCTGCCCTATGTCCTTGGGGGAGGCCTCTATCCGGGCGGTCTCCATGTCTATTCAGGGGCTAACCGAAGTGACGGCCCTTCTCGCGGCCGAAGCGTGGCACCGCCTACCAAGGACTGGCCCGTTTGGCTTGAAGAGCTGCGCGAAGGTAGCACTTACAGGTTCGACGTCTGCTTGGCCGCAGCCCGTGTGCCCAAACTAGCTGGCAGATGGCTGCGCTTGTTGCTGTTGCTTGGTGGTGACATTGAGCGGCATCCTGGTCCTGCTGGTCGTGTTCCTCGAGGGCCTCTCGACTTGACGTCCGGCTTCGCGACTTCCACTCGTCACAAGATGACCAAGAGTTTGGATGCCTTCAAACTGTGGCTGTCTGTCTGCTTGAACCTTACGTTTGCCGCTGCCATGGCCAGCGCCGAATCCGCAGCTACTGCGCTGCGTGCCTTCGGGCTTCACTTGTACTCCGAAGGGCATCCCCGCTACTTGCTTGTGTATGCCATCACGGGTGTACAGGACGCGTTCCCGGCGTTTCGCAATCACCTTACGCCTGCCTGGCAAATCGATAAAAAATGGCAGCATGTCGAGCCAGGCGAATGCAGGCCGGTGATTTCCAAGCCCATTCTCTTAGCTTCGGTTTCTTTAGGGATTCTTTGGGGTTGGTTCGACTGGGTCGCCGTCACTCTCGTGGGTTTCTTGTGCATGCTGCACCCTTCCGAGCTTATCTGTCTTCAGAGGAGCGACCTGGTGCTCCCTCACGACATGATGACTTCGGATTGTCTCGCTTACATTCACGGAACCCCAAAACAGCGCGTTTTGCGCGCCGGCAGCACTCGCGGTTAGAGGATCCACACACCTTACGGTTTCTTACTGCGCGTTACCAACACCTCGGGATGCAGGAGCGTCTCTTTAGGGGGTCCCTTAACACGTATCGCAAGCAGTGGAATGCTATCATGTCGCAGCTCGGGGTTCCCCATACACAGGC